GAAGTGCTAGCCTTGGAGCCCCAAGCCTAGCTTATGTTGATTCTCATAGTCGAGTGCACGTTCGTTGGGGTGGAGCTTTGGAGGGTCTGGACGGCATGCATGCTCGACGGCTGACCTGTCACATTCGTAGGCGCTCTAGAAGTTTTTAACCACCATGATGACGCCACGAGGGCACAACATCTTTAGCTTGAGGTAGGCGAAGTTTGGGACGACCATGAACTTGGCGTAGCATGGTTTCCCGAGTATGGCATGGTATGGCCCTTCGAAGTCGACAACCTCATAGGAGAGTGTCCCCTTACGATAGTGTATCGCATCACCGAACATGACCAGGAGGGCGATAGTGCCCAGAGGCATCACACGTCGGCCTGGTACGATTTCGTGGAACAGAGATTATGAGGCGTGTGGCTTCCCGACGTCGAACTTTAGCCTATCGAAGGCATCCTTGTAAAGGATGTTGATGCTGCTTCCACATCCATGAGGATCTTTGTCATTCTCACGGTCTCGATCATCACGCTAACAACAAATGGGAATCAACCGACCTCGATAACATGGTCAGGGTGGTCGCTTTTATCGAAGGTGATCGGTCTCTTTGACCACCATAGGTAGAGCGGCCTAGCGGGTGCGACGACATAGATGTCCCTATGCGTTAGCTTCTAGCACCGTTGTAAGGTCGAGATGGCGACTAGAGGGGGTGAATAGTTGTTTCCAAATTTAATTGCGCCGACTAACCAAAACAAGTGTGGGATTTAAAACAATCGATCTAGCCAAGACTACACCCCTCTATCGAAGTATACAAGCACTTTATAAAGATCCTAATTAGGCAACAAAGGTGTCGGGCTAGCTAGAGCTCACCTATCCAATTCTAAGAGCAAGGTCACACAAACATATGCCACTAGTACTTTAAGTAATGAGGGAGCTCCTACACATGCTAGTAAACAAAAGTACAAAGCTACCTAAGCTCACTAGCAATGCTCAATAACAAGGCAACCAATGCTAAATTATAGAGCTCAAATACTTAGCTATACAAACTAAGCAATGTGACTAACAAGGTTACACAAACCAAATTAGCCACGCAAGGGAGCTACTTCTATGCTACACAAGCAAGAAGGTAACTAGTGAGCTACACAAGCTAACTAATTACGAGAGCAACTACACAAGCACAATATATATGAAAGGAATCACAAGCTTGTGTAAGGGGATTGCAAACCAATGGGAAGAACAATGTTGACACGATGATTTTCTCCCGAAGTTCACGTGCTTGCCAACACGCTATGTCCCCGTTGTGTCGACCGCTCACTTGGTGGTTCAGCGGCTAATTGGCATCACCCGCCAAGCCCGCACGTCGGGCACCGCAAGAACCTACCTCGAAAGTGAGGGTAGCTCAATGACACGCTCAACTAGAGTTGCTCTTCGTGGCTCCCGCGGGGAGAGCACAATGCCCCTCACAAAGCTCTTCTCCGGAGCACCGCACAAGCTTCTTGCGGGCTTCGACGGAGATCACCACTAAGCCGTCTAGGAGGTGGCAACCTCCAAGAGTAACAAGCACCACCGGCTTGCAACTCGATCATCTAGTGCCACTCGATGCAATCGCACTAGAATCGCTCTCTCACACAATCGGATGATCACTATCAAGCATATGTGAGATGGAGGGCTCCCAAGCACTCTCAAGCATGGACACAAAGTCCCCCAAGGTGCTCAGCCCCAGCCCAAGACCGAGACCCCTTCTATTTATAGCCCCCATGAAAATAGAGCTGTTGTACCCCTTCACTGGTCACAGCTCGGGGTGACCGGATGCTCCGGTCAGATCATCCGGACGCACCCGGCCAGCGTTCGATCAATGGATGCACGCCATGTGTTGCCTCCGTTCAACCTTAGTCGCTTGATCTCAACGGTCAAGTGATGACCAGACGCAGTACAGTGCCAAGACCGGACACAGAACTCCAGCGTCCGGTCACTTCTAGTAAGGTTCCAGTCACGATCGGACGCGTCAGTTAGATCACGACCGAACGCAGGACTCTAGCGTCCGGTCACTTCCAGTAAGCTCCTAGAGTTGCTCAACCATGACCGGACGCATCCGGTCGGTCATGATCGGACGCAACATTAGTGTTCGATCCTTCTCCTCTTCTCTATGTTGCCACATTAGCGGGACCGGATGCACCCACCCAGCATTCGGTCATGAAGTGACCCAGCGTCCGGTCGAAGATCGATGCCTGCGCCTTCACTGCTGCCACTGACCGAACGCAGGACCCCCGAGTCTCTGGTCACTGCATGACCAGCGTCCAGTGCACTCTGTGAAACCCTATCTTTTCTGTACACTCTGCCGGTGAAGTTTCGAACCTTTGCTCCCAAGTGCTAAACACAATGTGTATCATCTTTTGCATGTGTGTTAGCATTTTCACAATCATTTTCCAAAGGATTAGCCACTCAACTTGCCACGCTACTCGATCATAGCGATGATGCAAAGTTAGATCACTCGAGTGGCACTAGATGATCGATATGCAAACAAGTTTGCCCCTCTTGATAGTACGGCCATCTATCCTAAACCTGGTCATAAACTTCTCTACACACCTATGACCGGTGAAATGAAATGCCCTAGGTTATACCTTTGGCATACGCATTCCATTCCTTCTCCTCCAATGTTGATGCAACACATGCACCAACACGATCAACAATGATATGATCCACTTCATATCATCACATGATCATATTGGTTCATCGATCTTGACTTCACTTGCTTTTCACCGTTGTCTTCGTCCATCGACGCCAAGTCTTGCTCAAGCTTCACCGCCACGCGGTCCATCGCTCCAAAGCCTCCGACTTGCCCTTCACGCTTGTAACCGGTCCATCAAGCCAAGTTATGTCTTGATATTCCCCACCTTGACTATATGACTCAATGTCATGTCTCATGTGCAATGAGCTCCTTCATCATCACATGTGTGAGCTTTGCAACATCTCCGAGCCACTTTCACCTTCATGGCATATGTTGCTCATACACATGTACCTGTGGACTAATTACCTATGTATCTCACATAAACACAATTAGTCCACCTATGTTGTCACTCGATTACCAAAACCACACGAGGACCTTTCAACCATCGATCTTCGTAGGCCTCGGGTTCACCGAAGATAAACATGATATCTTCGACATTCGGGAACCTTGTTACTATCGATCCTTCTTTTCTTTCTCTACGAGCCGCCTCCTATAGGACCTTTCAACCATCAATCCTTGCGTCACTTGTTACTATTCATTTCCTTCTTTTCTTTCTCTACGAGCCGCCTCCTATAGGCGATGCAATCTTTGGTGCGGTGGGTCACCCGAAAGCCATGGTTCTAGCATGGACCGTTCATGATCTTTGTTGATCTTTTTCTTGTTGCTCTACTTCTGCTTATTGTCGATGATCCCGCCCTTTGTGCTTGCGGCCCGTCCTCCTCAGATGAGAGAGCCCAGCCCTGTGGGAGGGTCTCGATGGCTTGGCGAAGCCAAAAGGCATGAGTTGGCGCTGTGTTCCTGAACATGGTTGGGAACCTAGGTAGGACATAGTCGGGTAGTGACGGTGGACCCATGTCATGGGTCCAGCACGGATCTTTCTAGATCTCGAAGGCTATGTTAAGTAGGTACTCTCGACGGAACTTGGAGAAAGCTTCCTTAGTGTAGAGGTTCATGTGGTGGGCCAAGGCGATTGGCCCTGCCTCCACGGCACCTTCGAGCCCGGCGAGGAACGTGCAGATGGTGGGCGGCTACTCCTCTTGTGCGGGTGGTTCGAGGTCTTGCAGGCGCAAGTTCCCGAACTGGTTGGCGATGAAGCCCAGGCCGCCGGAAGCGATCTTGTCGCCTGGTTGCATCTGGTCAGCATTGTCGTCGATCCTGGTGATGTCGCACATCTAAAACATAACGAATCTGTGCATAAAAGTCCCATATCTAGAGAGCCAACTGTCGGAAGTATTTACTCCGACAATATGAATCAACGTATTCGCGTACTGGGAATCAGATGGGTAGCACGCAAGACACAGGGAGTATACTGGTTCAGGTACATGGTACCCTACATCTAGTTTGACGTGGATCTCTGTGTATTCATATGCTTGGTTACAGGGGTTGCTAATTGTAGCTATGCACTAGAATGTAAAGGACTGATGGGGGGTTCCCTACCCCTCCTTATATAGCCTGGGGGTAAGGTTACAATAGATCCGATCGGCTAACAGATGTGTTTCCTAGTTTATTACATGAAAAGTATAACATATCATTCAACCATATCTTGCGGATATCAAAATGCAGGCTATCTATGCTTAACAACTTGATCTCCACGTTTACTGATACGCCCGGTGTACATGAGCCTCATTCCTTATTGTCTTCGGCACAGTTGTCAGGCTTGGACCGGAATACATGCGGTGAGGTATCTCGGTCCCATATATCCGATACCATTTGTTTCGGGCCTTAGTGAACTTAGCCACTTAGTGGGTTTTCACTGACGCCATCTCATTGATTCTTGCTAGCTCAAACCGAAGTAGCGCCGTTATTTCAACGCTACAACTAAGCAATTTAGCGGCACTAAAACATGATATAGCAGCAGTAGCTGCCATAGTGCCAAAATCAACAATAGCTTAGGGTAAGTTTTTCGAGCAACTATAGCAAGAAGATGAGGGCAAACACGTCATTTCCCCTATCTTCTCTCTCATACCTAGCGAAAATTATATTTTAATGGGGACGGTGTGTACAACAAACGAAAATGATTTTCTGAGTGTGCCGCAGCCAATATTGCAGTTAGCGGTGTGTCACAGCCCATTACATGTTTTTCAAATGTCGCACGGCCAAATCTGCCTTATTAAAACCATGTTTAGAGGACGAAGCTATGCCATCAACTGAGGTACAAGTTTTTTTTGTCCATGCTTAACTTTGTATGAAAAAAATCATTTGCGCTATATATTGCATCAGGGTCTGTGAAATCTTTCTTGAACAATGTTTAAGTTTTGATTCCTGTGAACTTTGACGCGATTTCTGCGAAATGGTGCGTTCCTAACAGGCCCCAGCTTAAAAACACTCGTTAACGAATTCTGTGCTAGGATTCCGACAGCTAAATACGGTTCATCTAGAAGATAGTAATAATTAATAATAGTATAATCCATTCGGGGCTTTGTGCTATGGAGGGGCAATCCCGTCCATCCTAGACCGGATTCGCGTCCATGCCCAACCAAGCGAGAGAGAGAAAATAAAAACACACACAATACGGCGCCCTGGCAAAATCACAGAAAAACACGGTCTTGTCTTCTCCTCCCCACCCGCAGGCGGCGAAGTAGCACAAGGAAGGGGTCCAAATAAAAAAGAAGAAAATCGCCACCGGCGGCGACGGCGAGGCGGCATCGGCGGGGACAGCACCGGGAGCCGCGGCAGGGAACAGGCGTTGTCGATCGATCGGCCTGGCCCGGCACGGCCAGAGGTCAAAAGCGAAAAAGAGGAGGAGCCGCCAGGAATTTCTTCGCACCGAGGCGCGCGCAAGGAATCCAGCGAGTGAGGGAAGCCATGGGACGGAAGGGTTCGGATTCTTCTAGCTGAGTCCTGGGAACTCACGCGCAGGAGCGTGGACAGGAGGGAGAGGCTGACGCGGACACGGACACGGACGCGGCGGCGCTGGTTTTGATGAGGAAAGCTGGAGCAAAAGGTATTTGCAATCCTAGATCTTAGAAATCTGAGTACACTCCGCGGCTGCTGCTTTGCCGGCCGCCGCTGCCCCGACGCCCCGATTTGGCGGGGGTTGTGGTTCGGCCGCCGCTGCCGCCGCCACGGAGATCACCCTGGGTTCCTCTGGTTTCTTCATGTGGTGTGGATGAAGAACAGTTTCTCGCCCGTCGGACTTCAGATCTGCTTTGTCTCAGGGATCCTGGACTGCTGACCGCGGATTTCTCCTCTGGTCAACTAACGGGCTTGCATCAGTTCGTCGTCTCTTCTGGTCCGCTGGAAGGAGGTGTTCATCGGAAATTCGACCCGATTCCAGATCTACCTGCCTTACGTGGAACCAGTTGTTTCCAAAAGGAGAGAAATTGGTGCTCTCTGGTGTGAAGGCCGATGGCTGACGGCAAAAGGCTGTTGACTTGATTTGCCAAGGAGCTGTTGTGTTAGTTCGTGGGTACTGGGTTCAACTCAGGCAGAAGGACATTGGTTTTGGTTTAGCCTCTGGCTTTCATTGTGTGCTGCAGGATAAGATTTGTTTGTTTGTATGCGCTGGGCTGGAACCTGGAATTCGGAACTTCTTTCTGAATTGCACTGGGAGGGTTCAAGTAGTGGCTGATGATGGGTGACCAGTGGTGGTGGCATGGCTGCGGAGGCGTTCTATAGTTTTTTACCTCTTGCTTATGTGCATGCTATGTGGACTGATGCTATTATTCTTCAAACAGTACCATAAGGTTTGGTGGTGTGGTGCTCAATATACCAACCTTGTTGTTTTTGTTTTCCAGAGGGATCAATTGGATCCAAGGGTGCAGTTGATATGAATAGTTCACCTGTTTCCACAGCGATAGCAGGAAGGCCATCGAAGTTGATGGTATGGATACAATTTGCCAACACAGTGGTTTCTGTCTTGCATAGACTGTGCCTAGCGAAAAGCTTGTTTTAGATCAGTTTGCTAAAATACCAATATTTTCTTCATTGTATTCTTCACTTTCTGCTGTTCAGAATCTTATGGTTAGCTTGGCTAATTTACAGATCAAATTTTGCACTTGCACTGGAAGGTCATCATCTTCTTCACCTCATAATCTTGAGAACACGGATATTTCAATGACCTGCAAAGGATGTACTGGTGAATCAACAGCAGACAGAGGTGGGCCATCGTGTAGCGGCAAGCTTAACAATATGGGCTTGGAGCTCCCAAGGCCTCTGGATCTTGAGGTTAGATGGAAGACTGGAAACAGAAGGCAAAGAGCCACCAGGAGAGCAAGGACCTCCTTTGGCGAAGGAACAAGCAGGGATGGAATTGGATCTTTCTATTTATTTGGCTGTGCTACAAATCAAGAGATGTCACAAGATGCTGCAGTCTCTGAATCTGAGAAGGTTCTTACTTTTTCTCCATTGAAATACCATGAAATAATTTAGTCAATGCATCCTTTAATGACAAAATTGCTGAATTATCATGTCTTTGCAGCTTGGAGTATCCATTCTTGGTAGACGCTTTAGTGATCCCATGGAAAATGGTCCTATAAAAAAGAGAAGATTTCATATGGATTGTTCTCCATCACCTCCACCAACTCCATTGCTAGTGGATCCATATGAGAAGGTACTGGGAAGCTCTTCTAAAGCTGCTAGATCATATGAGAAGCATTGCAAGCTTAAGATGCAAGGAATTGAGTATAAGGAGGAAAACAAAGGCCGTTTTGGTGCCGATGATTTTTCTGGTATTGATATACTAGCTTCTGCTGCTTGTGAGAGTGAGATGGGTGGTGAAATATTAAATGGGGAATGCTCAAAGTTAGCTCACCCCCCAGAAGATAGGAAGCTGGAAAATACTACTGGTAGCAGCAAATTGAGTCTATTACATAACATGGAGGATAAGTTAAATATTCCTGGTACTTCACATTGCATATATGATAGGCCTCTCGGGTCTTCTAATTCTGCTCCTGATATGAAGTCCTTATTTGTTGCCACACCAACTATCTCAGAAAATCTTGTTGAATCGGCATATTCTCCCAAGGTTAATTGTTCATCCTATTCTGCACTTAACAGTGCAGACAAAACAGAGATTGTTTCTGATGCTAAGTCTTCAAGTGTTGCAGTTGCAAACAGCTCGGACAATCCAGAAAAAACTATAGGATGCTCACAGGATACAGTTGTGCAAACCAACCATGCCAATGCGACTCGCGATTCTAGGCTGCACTGGGATCTTAATGTTGCCATGGAGGCATGGGACACTGATTGTGGTGATGTTGATGATCCTTTAGTTTCTACTGTAATTGATCATGATGATGCTAGAAATGACATGAACAAACCAGGGACATCTCATCATTTTGAGTCAAGAGATGGTAGTGTAGCTGATCACTCTGTTGACACAATTCATATGGCTGATGCACTGAAACATGTGTCTGCTAATACAAAGGGTACATGCGATTGTCCTGCTGACGGTTCGTCTCACCCTTTGCAAAACTTGCAGCTATTGGAATCTGGATCTGTAGGGAACGATGCCCTTGCAGAAACAATGGATTTGCCTGACCAGCAGAATAGTAGGTTTGCTTCTGTTATGGATTCAGACATTAGATCTGATCCAGAACCAACTATTATCATGGATTTTGCTTCAGCTGCAAATGTGGAGAAAATCGATGGTTCACATCCCAAACCTGTTCATTCTGAAGGTTTGTCTAATATGTCTTCTATGAATGTCCATGTTGGAAGTAATTCACTCCAAATAAGTGAATTGGGCACCACATTAAAGCCTTTGGCTAGCAGATTAGTTTCTGAGGAAAGCACAAACCTTCCAACAGTAGGCACTTTCCATAAAAAGGTTACTGACTTTGGCTGGAGTGATAATAAGCTTGAAGAAGCTTCTGAACAAAGCATATCTGAATCTAAGAACCAGGAGCTTTTGGATGTTGATTCAGGAACTAGTAAGAAGGGTGAACATGAAACTAATATATTTTATGCCAACAAAAGATCCAAAGATGCAGAAGATCTCACTCATCCAGAGGACAATCATGGATCTTCTGATTGTGATATGGCTCATGCACATGAAGAAGATGGTGCTGTTGCAATGATTAATTCTAAAGATTCTTTAATTACTTGTGCCAACAGTAGCACTTTAGAGACATATTGCATTTCAGATGCGGCTCCTCAGGTTCCTGGCCCCAGTTCAGAATGCCACAAACCGGAATTTATTACCGATGCGGGCAGCACTGTGGATTCAAAAGCTGCAGCACACAGCTACCAGAATGGTTGCGAAAATGAGCTTGGGAAGGTCGTATCAAATGTTTGTTCAGATCAATGCTTTGGAACTGACACATCACATATTGGCAAAAATCTAGCTGGGGTTGAAAAAGTTGATGTTGAGGAGGATGATTCTCAATATGAGGATGGGGAACTTAGAGAATATGATGATTATTATTGGGTGGGTGATGGATATGAAGAAGTTAAACATGGCAATTGGCATTATCAGGTATCAGAAGATTACAAGAATGAAGAAACCACTCCTGGCCTCGCGCCTCTCCATACTGATTCTATTGCAAAGAATGTGGTTATTCCTGTTGCTAATTACAATGGAACACAATCTAGAAAGGAAGACGTTGCTGTTTCACCTGTCTCATCTAAGCGTTCATGGTTAACAAACTGCCTAGATGGTGGACCTATTGCTGATGGAAAGGCTCAAAGTATTCATTCGAGAGGTGATACTAAGATGTATGGGTCAAACACAGGCCGTGTAGCAGTTAGATCTGCTACAACAGTCAGCCAGTCTGAAAGGTGCAATGATGCCTTAGGTGATGATATGTTAAATATCGGAATGAAGAACACAGGTTGGGATATGATGCCTGAAGATAAAAAACACTCTCAACATGATGCAAGGGACATGACTGATTCGTCTAACCGGTGTGTTTTGAGCTCAGATGCAGCTAGAGATGATGAGTCGCTGCGAAAAAAGGGACTATCGAATAGAGATCTTCAACGAGTGGAGTGGCAAAAATCATTTGACAGACCCCAGAGGAATGAAATGAGCAGGTATAAGTTTTTAGTAACTTTGTTTTATAGTCTTGTAGGTTTTTCAGTTCCTAATGATTTCAGTGTCTCGACATCATTGACTAATATCATGATAACCCTTATTTTATGCAGATCTGACGATGGTTATGGCTCAGGCTCAAAATCTGAAAGGACAATGGACTCTCATAGATCGCATGGCATGTATGGTGCATCACGGCATGTTCAGACAAGCGGCCAGGGGGAGTGGGTGGAAAATTCAAAACATCCTCGTCCTACTCGGCGCAAATCACCTGAATATTATAATTATGGCCCATCAGGTCCAAGGAATGCTGCAGAAGCTGCTGTCGCAAAGATGGAGAGCAGTGGCTTTGTTGTTGCACGTGATGGCACTCTTGTAAGAGCTGTTGATGCTGCAAATGCTGGTCAGATGCCCAGAAGGATGAGAAATACTTTAAGTAGCTCAGGCCGCCTGATTTCTGGACGGGGTTCCCCAATTGACAGGGATGGAGCTTGTGGGATGTCCAGAGGTCCCGTACATGCTAGGGAAGCATCTCCAGAGCGTCACTTTGGTGCAAATAGTAACCGGTCCAGTCGATATGGTCCTGAGATGGAGAAAGATCATACTACTGATGGAAATTTGAGTTCTGTCCGTTGCTCGCTGTCCAGTAGACAACGAGGCACCCCGACGTCGAGAGCATCACTTAACCTTTCCCGTGCTCACAGCAGGTCTCCTTCTGGGTCCAGGTCTCAATCCCCACATGATTGGGCACCTAGGAACAGAAGCAAGATCATGGCAAATGGAGGTTCAACTTTACGGAGGCATAGTAGATCTCCACCTAATCACATGGCTAAAGGTAGAATTGTTCGAATGGCTTCACCTCAGAGACAACCTGGATATGATGATCGAGCTATGCGTTACAGTCCACTATCAAGAAACAACACTTACTCCCAGCATGCTTCAACATGGGTTGATGGAAGGAACAGTTCAGCAGTAGATATTTCTGATGATCATACTAAAAGATATTCAAGGAGAAGCCCACCTCTGAGAATTGCCTCACGGAATGACAGATTTGATGTAATGGACTCCCAAGGACGACCAAGGTCTGGAGAATTCTACCGTCCGACACAAGGAAGACTTCTTTATGGTTATGATAGGGAAAATAAGCATGGCAGAAATGGTGAAGATGAAAGGGAATACAGTGATAGATATGCGAATCATTCTGTCAAGCCATATAATCGGAGTGGTGCTGTAAAGCAATTCAGAAATAATACTGGAGATAAATTTCGGACTCGTATTTCTGCTCCCAGATCGCCAGAACTCCAAAGGAGGGTGAGTCCTCGGAGATTTGACAGAAGCTTTGAGAGATAGCTGACTAGCTGGCTGTGAATTTGCCTTGTAGGACTAAAATGGAAAATAAAGATCTGTCTGGATGATTGAACAGGAAAATGTTGCAAATCCTTGATGGAGTTCAATCATAGGGATTTGATGGAAGGCTCCCTTGGCAGCACTGCTTTTTGTTGGCAGCACTGCTTTTTGTTCAAGGGACAGAAATACTGGAACCATGCACTTCTGTAGGGGGGGGAATTCAGATTAACTTCATAATTTTCCTGTTTCAATTTGTAAATATTTATGTTGGTAGCAGAATCACAATCACTCCTTTCAGCTTTGTTATAGCTGTTTTTTTTTCCTGATACTTTCTCATGTTTATCCCTTTTGCTTTTTTCAATGGGCATTATCTCTGTACGAGGTCCATTTAAACATGATGAATCAATTAATTTTGAGCTCAAACACTTGTGTACTTTTTACACTTATGTTTTTCATCTGGCATTTTGAATTATCCCATTGCCAGTGTACAGTGTTTTATGTGTTGTTGAATATACAATAATTTACAGCGGCCTGTGACCATGTTAAACTCTGCTCAAAGTTTGGACCAGCTGTGAGGTGAACAATTTTCTTCCTCTACATTTTCCTTCAATGTCATGAAACTGATAATTTTCTTCTTTCCTCTACATTTTCCTTCAATGTCATGAAACTGACTTTGATGTCTTTTTCTCAGGAGAAAGGTTGGCTTAGTGCTTTTGACCTTTTGTACATCAAAGAGGATACCCAGATATTTTGGCCATAATTAGTTTTGTTCCATTTTTTAGTATTTATAATAATGGCTGCTTTCTGGAGTACTGGAGGAAGTCTCTAACCATTCATATTCCTGCCGTTACAAGGATTGGCATGCCATTTTTAAAAAATGCATACAAGGGAATAAGGGACAGGCTCGACCTCCACCTGAATTAAGGGAGTATTAGCATATTACGGCTGTTTGTTTACAACACATTACTTTACGTGATCCAATGGTTATGAATGCAGAGCTGACACGTTTTGTTTCTTGTCAAATTGGCCAAGAAGTGCTGACCTGATTGTGGCATAATATATGATGGTTTAAGATGGAACAGTAATAATTTAAGTAGACAATTGGTAAACAGAGTGAGTACAGCATGGTTGACTCTTGGCATGTATACAAAATACATATTACATATATCATATATATAATATAATGGATTTAAAATTTGTACCATTTCAAAATGCATAAGAAATTGTCAAGAATTAAATAACATTTTTTTTGACTGGTTATTTCTGTCAGCATGCCTGTTTTGTTAATGTGTAAATCATATTAAGTTGGTTAATGTAACGAACCTAAGCACAGAAAGTGTGTTGTGTTTCTTGAACAGTTGAACATGTGAATCCATTTTGGTCTTACAGCTCAAAATGGATGCTATTGAATAATGACCCCATGCTGAGTAGGGCAAATATCGATTTACTAACTTGTCTTTGGATACATTTTATATGTTGTCTTCATATTATGGGCAGCATAACTAACATGGAGAAAGTTATCAATCATCATGTTATTTTTCCCCTTATTTCACCTGCACAACTGTCTGCAATCTTGTCTAATACTAGTAGTATAAAGAGTGAAATACACTCTGGGTCTCTAAACTTTTCCTGTTCTCATTTGGGTCCATAAACTCTCAAAGTGATCATATGGGTCCTTTAATTTTTCAAGTGGTTCATTCGAAGTTGTGAATTCAGGTCCATGATTAGAATGAACCAGTTGAAAAGTTGAAAGGATTGAATGACCCAGAATCCCAGATTATCATTCGAAGTTGTGAATTCAGGTCCATGATTAGAATGAACTAGTTGAAAAGTTGAAAGGATTGAATGACCCAGAATCCCAGATTATCACTTTGAGAGTTCATGGACCGATATGAGAATGTGGGAAAAGTTTGGACCAGTGGTGCATTTCTTTCTGGTATAACATGGTTTGTGTGGCAACCATATGCAGCGTATGTGTTTAATTGGTTCAATAGTCCATATTTTGTTATAATGTTTTGCAACATGGCTTATGTAGTGTTGATGCTAATGTATGTGAAGACAGTTATCCTGCTGATTGAAATGCCAGGCGTGATCTTTGAGGTCCTTAGTTTAATTAAGTACACGAGGATATTTCTATCCCTAAGGATTCAATCCAGCCACAGGTCCTTCTACGGCTTCCCTGACCCTAGTCGAAGACCCCATCGTGATGTGCACCAATAAGACCACCAAATGTCTTTGTGGCACTAATGGTACACAGAAGTCAATGCGTGATCATTTGTCCAATGCTTCAGGCGAAACCAATTCCAGGGTGTGACAGGCGTGTTCAGGGCCTGGGTACATACTCATTGAGGCATGCTAATCTTGTTCACTTCGGATTAGTATGTGAGCCATTTGCCCTGATGCTGTGCTTCTGAATCCGTAAATCCATTACATGAAAGTGAGATGGTTGATTTTTTTCCCCACTTATGTGCTTTGGATAGTGGCGATTTTCTGGAATGCTTCATGGCAAGATGGAGGCCCTAGTTTTGTTGTGTGCATGATAAATAACTTGAAATTCCAAGTAAGGTTCCATGCTGTCACTAGTGATTGTACACATTTGTTGCTCATGTTTGAAATGGATGTCATATCTGCATCTCAATTGATCCCTGTGTTATCATGGTAGCAGTATTGTGTATGCCAAATTGCGGTGGTCAAACTAGGAAAGGTAACAAAATGGGTTAGAAATGAAAAAAAATAGTGCTTGTAGTACTCATTAATCCGATTCTTCTATACTGCAGCTGTAGTGCATAGAAAAGCTATTAGAAGCTTAATAATTCTTTAGCTTTGGATGCATTCATCACATTCTAGGCTGCTACACTAGTTTTAGGTGTCTGGGAGCCAGGGGTGACGAGGCTGGCAAGTGATAACCAGTAGTTTGGATTTTAACTGGTGTTCCCTGCAATTAGCACCAGGTGTTATCATGAAGCACATTGGACCATAGAAAAAAAAATGGAGGGGAACACAGATGGTTCCACTGCAATCATCATTATCTATGGATAAAACCAGCATCCAAGATACCTGCATGGCAGCTTTGTTGCTTGATTGCTTGCAACGCAAAGCCTCTGTTATCACATGGCAGTGGCGTTTCAGTTTGTTGTCCTCATTCTTTTTTGTATTTTTTTTCTACACCCTAAGTCTGCATAAATTTGTAGGGAGCTGATGGCAACACTTGTTCACCAGAACACAAGCTATATTCATGGCTGTCAACAAGAGAGATTTGCTGATTTTAAACCGACCTGTAGTTTCTGGTTTTTGATAAAAAAATTCAAGTTCAGGGCCAAAAGTATTTCCCTTGATCTAGGTATATCTCTTGTTGCATATTAGGACAGCCAAAGACTCCAGTTTCTAAGAACACTCGACCAAATTATAAGACTCTGTGGGTTGTGGGAGTAGGCCTTTGCTTCTCCTTTGTATTTTCCCTTCTTAATGAAATGACTGCACAACTCTCGTGCTTTGTTGGAGAGAAACAAAGGAACATTTCAGTAAATGGGTGCTAGCATATTTATTTATATACAAAGAGCAAAATTATGTCTTATGGAATAGCATGAGGTTGTAGCTGAAAACTTAGACCTTGGATCCTGTTACTTAAATATGTTGTTGAGTTAATTTGAGCTCAATTGCTGCAGCATGTGTTCCACTTGCCTACATTTTGTTGAACTTTTTTTTTTCCTTTTAAAATAATATATATAATAGACATGACTCTGAACTTACCTATCTTTGTTGTAAGATTGATCTGATATACTTTCTGATCGTTTTGATTTGTAGCTAGTTGTTTCTGCAGGTGTTGGGAACAACCAGACACTGGCTCACAACAATCTGTGGGGCACGTCCCGCAACTCTGTCGCAGAAGCTTGGAATAAAGCTTGCACATGCCATCTTGAAACAGGCCAGGATGAGAATCTCCTGAACTTGTTGCAAGCATTTGCTCCTCTCAAGCCTATTCCGGAAAATGCGGGAGGTGTGACTGTGATGCCGCTCCTGGACCATCCAGACGGTTTCATGGTGGCTAGTTGTCATCACTGAAAAGATGTCGGAAACGCGCCATTTGGTTTCAGGAATCAGGTCTCTGCTGTTTGCGCCCCTGGGCAAAGATTTCCAAATCTATTTGGCATACTGCTAGGTCACGTCTGTGTGTGCAGAATATGTTTTGCCACCTTTCGTCTTCTCAAGCTGGCGGGCAGTCTGGCAAGTATTTCAAGATATTTGCAACCTGTTTGCTTTTAAATTCCACGATAATGCATCGTAACATGCGCAATAAATTATTTCCTTCATCATAAACGCTCGTGAAGGCCTTTTAAAGTAATAAGGTCAAATGTGCTTAATAAGCAATCTTTTGTTTTGGAGATGTGTGCTCAGTTGAATAGTTTTACATATCAATTGTGAATAAATAAATAAAGGAGCAACTGTCACCTGGTTGCTGTCGGAGAAATGCAAAGCTCTCGTCTTGATCAAGTCTTAGTAGCCTACGCCCCTTCCTGATTCAACAAAGCACCGACATCGTGGAACAACTGCCAATTTTTGCCACTCAGTTTTGGACTTTTGGTACACTTCGCAACTGCCAGTTTTTGGCACTCGGTTTTGGACTTTTAGTAGGCCTGCAGAACAAGTCTTCCGCTAAGTTCAGTGGGAAGTGTACAACACTCTGAAGCGAAGAGAAACTGCTTGACATGTGAAGAGGTGCAGTGCGTGTTTCACAGAACTGAGGCTCAGAGGCCCAATACATCCATCCGCCTGGCGTGAGTTTTAAGCTGCATCCAAAACCGAGGGAGGACTTATTTCAATGAATTTTATAATCTGAGCCTCCAACTTTCAGTTTCAGGTGCATTCTATTCAATCAACTCACTGAAAAAGACCTTGTGGCCTTTGACCTCTATGGTGTCTGGAAGTTTGTGATACATCCTACTAAGACTCTACTCTTCCCTAAAGTCACACCCATCTGAAGTGACCACAATAGTTTTCTGCTACTTGTATCAAGTGGACAGTACCAATGTTCCTTATAACAGAGCATATATGGTGCCAATGGTGATGACTGAAAGTGAACAGAATAGAATAAAGTCACACAGAAATATTTCTTTGAAGGAATGACTGACTTTACCATATGCTTACACAACAGGCATTCTTTTTTTTCAACTGCTGAATTCACATAAAATCTTGTTTGCAGTGGACTTGAAGCTTTGTTTACAGGAACTGATGACTACCATGATTCAAATGTGAGCTGTGAATTCAGAACAAAAAAAAAGCTTGTTTCTTCTGCAGTTGTGAATTGGGGCAACCGAATGAGTTAACCAGATATTTGTACCCCACCCACTGCATGCTTATCATGACTCTAATGAAAACCCAGGAGCCCAAATGAAGGTATCAACTGAGATGCCTTTGCCATAAACAATCTGTTTCAATATTGAAGATATGCTGCCTCTTTTCACGTAGTGGCAGGACTGATTGCCACACCAGCTGTACTTAACTAATGCAGTTATCTTAACCATGCCGATTTGCACTTTATGCCCAAGCATTCCTCCGCCCCCCCCTCCCCACTAACGCAACTACCTCTCAAATTTACCAAATTGGCCTCTGCTTTCCAGTCAAAAGTGGGTCAAAAACTACTTTCTTCCGCTTAGTTGATCGCTACCGTTGTGTAAACAAACAAATGTAACCAGCAAACAAGAAACTGCAGGTTGTTCAAAACACGGGCATTATGTTTGGTTCACAGTACTGAATTTGAACTATTTCCTATGAAATTCACGGATAGGCCGAACGAAAGGTGAAACCTCGAGCGATTGAACGATGGGACCAACTGACCGAACAAAACTTGCGAGAAAAGGATTTAACATTGCTTGCTAGCCTTGTTAGTTGCACATTGGATGTGCCACCTCGTTATATATATATATAAATACATGCAGGGTGCTCTGGTGCAAGCTGCCACTGGCACTGGCACTGGCAGCTGCGAACGGAACAAGGCCAGCATGGCATTGGGCGTGGTCGGCCTCGTGCTCGCATTGCCACTCTTGTTCTTGCTGACAAGGGCGGCATGGATCACTGTCTCCTGCTACTACCTCACGCCGGCGAGGATCCGGACAATCCTGGCCGGCCAGGGCGTGCACGGCCCGCCGCCACGCCTCCTCGTCGGGAACCTCAGCGACGTCTCTGCCCTCGTCGCCGAGGCCATCGCCGGTGACATGAGCTCCCTGAGTCACGACATCGTCGGCCGCCTTCTGCCCCATTATGTCCTGTGGTCCAGGATGTACGGTGAGTAGCTCACGACACGATGCATTGCCGGCCGGCCGGCCGGTGCTGATGGTTCGCTGAGGCGGAGCTGCTGACCGGTGGAGGCTTTTGCTTGCCTATGGCCTGTGCAGGGAGGCTGTTCGTGTACTGGTACGGGAGCGAGCCACGGGTGTGCGTGACGGACGCGGGCATGGTGCGGGAGCTGCTGTCGTCGAGGCACGCGCACGTCACCGGCAAGTCGTGGCTGCAGCGGCAGGGCGCCAAGCACTTCATCGGCCGCGGCCTGATCATGGCCAACGGCGCCACGTGGTCGCACCAGCGCCACGTGGTGGCGCCGGCGTTCATGGCCGACAGGCTTAGGGGCCGGGTGGGCCACATGGTGGAGTGCGCCCGGCAGACGGTGCGCGCGCTGCGGGAGGCCGTGGCGCGGGCCGGCAACGAGGTGGAGGTGGGCGCGCACATGGCGAGGCTCGCCGGCGACATCATCGCGCGCACCGAGTTCGACACCAGCTACGACACCGGGAAGCGCATCTTCCGCCTCATCGAGGAGCTGCAGCGGCTCACGGCGCGCTCCAGCCGCTACCTCTGGGTCCCTGGCAGCCAGTGAGCACTAGTACCTTTTTTTTTTAGAGCATCACTAACAAGTGGGACCAGGCCGCCGCACTGAAAAGCGTCACTGGGCCCTGCATGTCAGTATACACACGCCTTTCACCAGTTTTTTAATATATTTTTTTATTAAATAAATAAATTCCAGGTATTTCCCAAGCAAATACAGACGGGAAATAAAGCGGTTGAACGGGGAGCTGGAGCGGCTGCTCAAGGAGTCCATCCAGCGCAGCCGCGAGATCGCCGACGAGGGCCGGACGCCGTCGTCGGCGTGCAGCATGGGGCTCCTCGGCATGCTGCTGGCCGAGATGGAGAAGAATAAGAAGAAGAGGACGACCAAGTCCGGCAACGACGACGGCGAGCTGGGGTACGACGCCCAGACGATGATCGACGAGTGCAAGACGTTCTTCTTCGCCGGGCACGAGACGTCGGCGCTGCTCCTTACCTGGGCCATCATGCTGCTCGCCACTAACCCTTCGTGGCAGGACAGGGCGCGCGCCGAGGTAGCCAGCGTCTGCGGCGACGCCCCGCCCACCGCCGACCACCTCCCCAGGCTCACCGTGGTAAGCCAAGCCATTGACTCTGATCCGGCGATCCATTATTCCGTCCACGCTCGCCAGCCACTGGCCGGTTGTAACTAACGGCTTCGTCGTGCATGCATGCCCGCCCGCAGCTGCAGATGGTGATCAACGAGACGCTCCGGCTGTACCCGCCGGCGACGCTGCTGCCGCGGATGGCGTTCCAGGACATCACGCTCGGCTCCGGCTCCGGCCCCGACGAGCTGCGCGTGCCCAAGGGCGCGTCGCTGTGGATCCCCGTGCTGGCCATCCACCACGACGAGGCCGTGTGGGGACCGGACGCGCACGAGTTCAGGCCGGACCGGTTCGCGCCCGGGCGGGCCCGGCCGTGGGCGGCGGGGCGGTTCCTGCCGTTCGCGTCGGGCCCCCGCAACTGCGTCGGTCAGGCCTACGCCATGGTCGAGGCCAAGGTCGTGCTGGCCGTGCTGCTCGCGAGCTTCCGCTTCGGCATCTCCGACGAGTACCGCCACGCGCCTGTGAACGTGCTCACGCTCCGCCCGCGCCACGGCGTGCCCGTTCGCCTGCTGCCGCTGACGCCGCGGTAGGAGGCCTCGCAGTCGTTGGGCTTCTTTGCTCTTGGGTGTTCTTGGTTCTTCACAATTTTGTAACATCTGTGTTTTGCGTTTGTGATTTTCCTTTTTCTTGACTACTAGTAGATGGAGAAAATTTTGTGCTTCGGTTCACTAGCGGTGGTATGACATGTAGAAATATAACATAATATTATTTAGAGTCAACGTTTTGTTGATGGTGTTTTTGTCAGTGATGAGAAACAATCTTGCAAATTGTATCAAATATCGAAGTGTAAAAATGTCGCTGAGGGCAGAGATGGCGCGTAGGAGATTCGCCGGAATTGATTTTCCATTATATATAGGTCCTGTTTGGACGGGACGGGATGTACTTGATACCATAAAATATTTCAAAATCGAACCAAATCATAAAAAGTTGAATCTCATCTCTATGTCAAAACACACAAAGTAAATACTGTACAATTTTGATCTCTGCGGGATAAGACTGTGTGACTCGACTACAATAAGTAATAAATTGACCACTCGGGCACTTTGGCAAAAAGGTTAGCAGCTAGTGGCCTGCTATCACTATAATGGCGTACAGCTGCTGCATATATTCATCCACAAGTGGGAGCTTAATCTCGAGTTCTCGATAAAGGATTATATATTTTTTTATCAAATTAATAGGTCTAAGGATTCCAACCCCTACATTAAGACCCTACAGGTCACCTACAAAATGAATGGGGGTAAAAGTAAACTTTTTTTAGGGAATCAGGAGAGGCTTTTGAGCCCGTACTAGTAAATCAAACTAATTTTATGATGCAGATAGTCGGTAGTGGAAATGGCTCATCACAGAATGCAGACATACACATATAGGCCGTGGGCAGGGGTGGTGTGATTCGAGATATACTCCCCCGTTCCAAATTATAAGTCGCTTTGATTTTTTTTGTTCATTCATTTTGTTATGTATCTAGACATATTATTATATCTAGATACATAGCAAAATGATTGTATCAAAAAAGTCAAAGCGACTTATAATTTAGAACGGAGGGAGTAGAATAGAAGCAACCTAAATACCTAATCTTTGGTGTTCTTATCGAAAGAAAAAAGACCCTAATCTTTATGGTACATTTGGTATATTTATCTTGTGGATGGAAAATAGTCTTGCGTTATAGTTATGGCAATGTGAAGTGTTTTAGAGAGAAGAAATTTGGATTGCCATATTAGAGTTCACACCAAAGGCATCTCCATGGCACACATATTGTGTGAGAAAGTGAGAGATTAGGGATGTGTATTCATCGTGCACAAAATGCAACGATGCCTGTCGATTTAGGTATATGTCATGATGTCAACCGCTCTCTCCCGTTTCAAGATTTGCGCTTTTAATTTGCAAGTAAGATACTACCAATAGGTCAGACAACACCAGCAAGCTACGGTAGTGGTGTTTACCTTAATATTACAATTCATGCGGCCTATGTTCTCTCTCATCAATTCCCATTTCTCCCCCAGCCTCGCGATGGAATGAGTTTTCAAAGAAACCACCGTCATCCTCCTTAACCATCACCCTATGACTCCTCTACAATAGAGGTGTATGTCCTTGTGAAGCTACGATGAGTGAACTCAAAACGACTCTTAGTTTCAATTGAATCGCACCCTCTATTCATGTTTCTTGGTTTCAGACATTCCCAATCTTAGCTGCAGTACTGTGCTTAAATCTGCAGAGAGCATATTCGTCTCCGCTGGTAAACATGGCGTTTCTTCTAGTCAATCCTACACCCTTCGAATTTGTGAGAAATGAACTTATGATGATTCTTATCCTCCTCTCTGAAGCACTAAATTAGTACTTTGGACAATTCGCTTCTAGACATGCCCAACATCCTAGCATGGTGGGGGAAGCACTAAATCCTTGTGAAGCATTTATCGAGCTAGATGAAGTTATAGCAATGGGTGTTGACTAGGATCTTGAAAGTGCATCAAGCTCTTTAGTGGGTTTTGGATAATTGAATGACAACGTGATTAAAGGTCTAACCCAGTTGCTAAGTGTTGGACAGAAAATGGGTTATCTCACATGTTAATGAAAGCCAAAATGATGTGTTGTTGTATAAACAATCTAGTTCAAACACAAAAAAACTCATGCAAGGCTTATTCATGGTGGGATTTCGATGACACATATGAAAGCAAGCACGTTGAAAAATAATTAATGAGACATGAGGGATTGCATATGGAATGGTCTCACTTTTTAGAGCTTGCTACATTGAAAGACAATTATACAATTGAACTTGATGGATGATTCAACACAAGGTGTGACTTGATGGGTTGAGATAGTGAAGATAGCAAGGAAAGGCTTCGAGGTACTAAGCAAGGGTGAAGGGCAAGCGACGGCTTGATGACCGAGGAACCTAGCTAGGGTGAAGAAGGAAGTACTTGCATTTAGTCAAAGTACTAATCAAACCATGATGGTCATATCGAAGTGGAGGATCAAATCTTGAATAAATTGTTGAAGTGATTTGATACAATTGAAGTCAACACACATTTGTTGTTTGGAATCAAGTCACATGTTTAAGATGGCTATGCTCAAGGAGAAAATCAAGATCAACATGATTGACACCCTCACTTGATGAAGATCAAAAGCTATGGCATTCGGTTTGAAGGAAATCAACTCAAGCGGTTCAAATTCGTTTTCATTTGATCTTGAGTTATTAGGTATGCCGTACTATTAAGAGGGATATATCATGTTGATAGATAATTATTCATAAGTGCTCAAGCCAACCCATGTGAGGTTTGAGTGAAAGAGAGAGAGCCAAGTGCTAACTCGCTGTGCTGTAGGCCCAAATACCAGATGTGTTCGGTATGATACCGGACGTGCCCGGTATTGGCCTAGCTGCAGTAACTTCTTCGGTGTTCTCGAGTTTGTTCGACGAGAGTTCCGACAAGAGTCGGGAGTTTCGGCAATCATTAGGAGTTCTGACGCCTCACACGCGCCACTGACTAAGTGACCGTTGGCGGTGTGCAGGGCAATATCGGATACCGGACGTGTTCGATATTCCAACGGCTAGAAAACAACTAGTTTTTGAGTGGGGTCTGTAAATACCCCCAATCCTCCACCTTTGGAGTCTGTTGATTCTGCTAACTTCCATATATGTTTTTGAGCCTTGAGAACACTCCTCAACCCTCTCTTAGTGAGTGATTGATTCAAACTTGCAAAATCCATCTTGTTGGTTGAGTGAGATTCAAATTGAGAGCAAGCCACCCTTGAGCACTTATGCATATTTGTCGATCTTGTGATTTGCATTTGTTACTCTTGGACTCTTCGGTCCTAGGCGGCTAGGCATCGTCGGAGAGCACCCAAGAGCTTGTGGTGTGCCTCGAGAAGTTTGTAACGGTTCGATTCCACCGCTGCAAGGGAAGGGATCAACTAATGGAAGGAGGAAAAGGAGTTGGAAAAGACTCCGGCTAGAGTGGCCTTCGTGGTCCTCTAGAGCTGACCTTCGCTGGGTCGCTCGTAGCCCCCTCAATGGAGAGTAGGACTCGACGGAGTCCGAACTTCGGTAAAACAAATACCATGTCTCGATCTCTCTTTACTTTTGGTATTTGTGATCTTTGTGTGTTGCTTGAGCTTGCAAACAGGTTACCAAAAGGTGTTAGCAACTTGGTGCAAAAGGAAAAGTCGAAAGGAAGAAGCTAGGAGCTGATTTGCACAGCCCGTGTATACTGGACGTGTCAGGTATAGATACCGGACATGTCCGGTATTGGGGAGCAGTGCTGAATTTATTTATTTGTTGCACTAACTTTGTGTTGCAGGGTTGTAGCTTCTAGATATTTTCTATGCATCTTGTTTTCTCTATTGGCTTCCTCGTGAGGGGTTTATTTCTCTGATTTGGAATTTCTATTTCCGCATTTTGAAGGGTTGAATTTTTACAAATGCCTACTCACCCCCCTCTAGGCGGCATCCTCGGTCCTTTCAGATCTAATGGGAAATGACCTTGATGTCATGGAAATTGACCTGGATCTCATGCAAGTCGACCAAGATGAAGTGGAAGTGGACTAGGATCTCATGGACGTTGACTAGTTGTACAACTAATTTGGTAGAAATGAGGGCATGCTATATTTTTCCTATGGGGTATTGTTAGGTCTACAACTAATGTCTTTGCATCCTTGCTTTTGTATGACCAATGTGGAGTTATGTTGTAATGTTGCCTATGAACCGGTAGTCTAGAAATTGTAGTTAAATCAATGGTCTTGTATGAACAATGTGAATTAATGGCCTAATCCTTTGCTTATGAACTAAGGTATTTGTATCATGATGTAATGCATGTTGTAAGGGACCGTGACGCCTAAGAGGGAGGGAGTGAATTAGGCAACTTAAAATTCTACTTCTAACTAAGGCCTCTAATTTCACCTAGTCAAAACCTATGCAGAAAAGTAAACTATCTAAATGTGCAACTATGGTTTTGCTAGTGTGTTGCTATCTCTACCGTAAAAAGAAGTTATGCAACCTAGGTTCCAAACCTATCAACTAGCCTATCACTAAGCTAGGAAAGTAAAGCACAAACCAAGATTGCAATGTAAATACGGAAGCTAAAGAGTAAGGTAGAGATATGCAAACTCCCATCGATGACTCCGGTATTTTTACCGAGGTATCGAGAAGCGCGCAAGCTTCTCCCTAATCCTTGTTGGAGCCCCTCGCAAGAGAATCCCTCACAAGGGCCAAGCTCCGGTCGGGTAACTCCGTGGATAGCCGTAGGCCTTCCCCATGTGCAAGTGGCTCTCTAGTGTACCTTTGGGAAGCCTCTCTCAGACAGCTCTCCTCCGTCTTCACTATCAAGCTTCCGGCTGAACCGCCGCGTGCCTTGTTCCCTTCGATACATGGTGGCAGCCACACCATAAACACGGTTGGTGTGATCTCGCAAGACTACAAGCCCCTCCGATGTACAACAATGGTGCGCGCAAGCACCGAGTGATAAGAGGTGTGCAAACCTCACTAAACATTAGGCCTAAACCTAGATCAAGCGCATAAGCGGTGGTTTAATCAACCTAAG